CACCATTAATAAATCATTTAAAGAGACTCCGTTGGTTGTCTTCGCCGACGCGTCGAATACGATTCTAACTTTGGTGGTATGACTCGTTTCTTTAACTATCGCGTGATGCGGCATATAATAGCCATTCTCGTCGGCGTCCTCAATCTGAGACATATGATTTATTTGTATATATTCGTCCATTATTCGTATATATTCGGCCTTCAAATTCGGATTCGTATTTAATTTATTCTCTAGTGATAACAAACGTTTAAATGCACTACGGTGTGAATCGCCGAGACGAATGTTTGTGTCGCGAAACGGCAAGCGAACGGTATACCGACCTTCGCCATCCCGCGAAACCGTTTTTGAGAAATGCGTCTCGCAATCTGCTTCCTCGTTTGATTGTGGTGTATTTGACGCGACCTCTTCGATTGTCCAAAATTTGCGCATCAAAATTTCTAAATGGGTGAGGTGACATGTTACGAGTTTTGATGGATTTTGCGACGGCGCGCCTCCGGCGACCACCCAACCTAAACGCGTCTTTTGTATATATAAGTCATGACCATCGTGAGATAGATTGATTTGGCCGACCGCAAATAGCGATAATGTTGCCCCGGAACCGATTAGCAAATCGACGGGGCGCGGCAAATGAAACTCAGGATCCGCCAATCTAATGTTTGCGGGAATTTTAACCGAATTGCGCGGAAACGTCTCGGATGGAATTGAGTCCGTGATAATTGGTATTGCTAGACAGATTATATCTTTCGTGAATCCGTCGTATATGGACTGTATTGTAATTCGCACTGTGCCTTTCGATTCGGTGCTCATACCGCCGATCGCGTTAATTGGTAGCGACCGTGTATCCATGCGTATGTTTAAACGTTTCAGAAGGGATTCCGAAATAAAATTGGCGGTAGCGCAAGTATCTAACAGCGCACGGCATTTTATCAAATTACATTTATTATCACGGACGTATATTAGCGCGCTCGTCATTAATTGCGGAGCTGGAAAATTCCACGTCGCGAGGCTCGCTGCTTC